ATCGTGACCAATTTAGTAAGAGCCCGATCTTGATCTACGTGAGTTAAGACCCTAAATCACGTATCTCACGTGTCTAATAGTCGTTCCGAAGAATACATATAAATCCTAAATTGCACCGTAAATTATTATCGCTCTCCCAAACAATAGTAACACCATCTATATGTTAGCGCGGTTAATCGTCTATATGACATATCCAAAATATATGCTGATGTGAATAAGTATAAAATGTATTATTAATACAGTAACTTCATCATCCTTTCTAATAAAGAGAAAAAATTAAAAATAATTTTAATCCGACTATTATTTATGCATATGATCTGATACGTATAATCTGATTCCTCCGTAGAATTTATAAGTGCATACATTTATACACTCACGTTCATCATCGTAGTCAAACTCGGCGCTTACAAAATATGTATCACGTGATTCTATGTGAATTCTCGAGATTTATGACACATGATTTAATTAATCACTTCAAATCATATGGGGTCTTTGCCTTAAAAATGACCTTACGGTATCATGTACCGTAAGGTCATTTTCAAGGCAAAGTTCCCATATTATAAGACATATTCTCACCTATTGCGTAAATTATTCATGTGGTCCAAATTTTAGATTTACTCCAGTAAAGATTTTATCCATCAAATAAAAATTAAAGCATCAATATATCTGAAAAATTCAAGAAATACTTAAACAACCTAAATATTTAAAATCATATTTTAAATTTATTGTATATATAGTAAATTAAACCGAAAACAATAGAATTTATAATGATTACATGAAAAGTGAGATCATCAATAATATTTCAATTGAGATATTTCGAGAAATTTTTATATATATCGGATATATTACGTACTGTACGTAAGTACAGTACATATGTACGTATTCTGTACATAACTAATCTAATGGTATCACAAATTAGGTCATTTATTTATAGTACATACACACTTACATCTGATATACAAATAATACGCCAAAACCTATCTTATTGATGTAAATCTTTCTTTTTCTATTTATTTTTTTTTTCTTGATCTTTTTCTAATCCTTAATTTTTTTTACAATCGGAGAAAGTTCATACTGCTCCGTATTCATTTTACTTTTTACACTTGCATCATATCGAGATAAAGCAGCTATAGCAGTTGATACTGTATGGTAACAAAGGAGTGAGTTTCAAGTTTCAAACGTTTACAATATATTGAAGGAAGTGACACATACAATACACCAGTTCATGACATTTATTGTTCAAATAATCAAATGTTTCGATAAAAATATTCAGTGAGCTTTTAATAATATCAATTATATTGGAGTTCATAATTCTTTGTCATATTTACTTACGGAAGGCATTGTAATAGAAAAGTTCTATTACAAATTTTAAATAATTTTCATAAAATAGCGTTCATTAGTAAAGTATGTATATATACGTATACTATGTACATATGATTCGTTATTATCCAATATATTAAAATCTCTTGAGGCAATGCCATGTCGACGACCCTTTTAGTGTAATGTTCGTGTATACGTATATGCATTTATCAAGATGACGTCCTTTTATATTTATGTAATATATTTGCACACTTCTCTTACTATATAGCCCGTTAATGACGGGCCCTAACGTCTAAAAAATGCAAGAAAACTCCTTCTTGTATACCTTATTGACAGTAACAAAGTATTTTTGAAAATTACATAAACAATAAAACTTTATTCAAGTTCCTCGAGAATTCATAACGTCCGATAAATGCGTGATTAGAAATATATATTTATTGGTTTATATATTTAATAGATAAGGTCTATTTTTATTGGCCATTCAACTTTGCAGTCTGTATAACTTCACTTTGAATTTCTATCTACAATAATTTGGTTTCATATTGCGCATGAAATCCGAAGCATTTGTCATATGACTGCAGATCATCACTGGAACAATTCACGAATTTGATTGTCAGAGTCACCGTATTGCATAAATTTATATTCAGATTGCCTAGTAATACGTAAAATATCTCGCTACGCTTACTTATAAATTGAAAACACTTGGCTTTAAGCTTAAATCTTAATTATCATAATTTCAAAGAATTGTAATTTAAATATAATACAAAACTACAAGAGACAATAATAATAGCAAACTGTGATTGTGAGCTGAGTCGTAAGTTGAATTGTAAGTTGTAGTTGCAAATCTTAATTGTAAGGTGCGTGAATTAAAAGAGCATAACGTTAGAGCATGCAAGCTTTCATTAATTTTATAATTGATATTTAAAACCCTGTATATAGCCGAAAAATTTTTATTTAAAAGTCCAATTGTAGGTGATAATAGTAAAAATCTTTTTACAATATTTACGATTTTTCTCGTTTTTCGAATTTTATTCACCTGATCATGTGATTTATTGGATTTTCAGTAATGATCGACAAATCAACCAATCATAGCCGATCATATGTTTTAGATAAGACATTTGATTTAGTACAGTAGTAAGATAACAGAGATGCATTATAATAGAACAAATAATGAATCTTTCGATAAGTAAGGCATAACTCACAACTACTGTGTACAATATATCATCTTTACCAAATCGGTTGAACATAGCACTATATTTGGCCTCGCTATAAAGATATTTGTTTACAAATAGATTTCGCAATATTGATCAATGTTGATTAACTTTTAAAGGTTATGGACTATGAATTCCATATATCCATGTAGAGGTTGTACCTATTAGAAAATCTCCAGCGTATAGCGCTACATACAGTTCCTACTGTACCCCAGAATACTATATCAGTTATAATTTAGCTTGATCTTTTTGTAAAAGATCCAGGGTACTATATGCAGCACTGTAGGGTACTCGGGTGTTGTTAAATTATCCAAATTATCCGGGGAAGACATAAATTTTGGGCAGCCATATAACAGCAAATTATGTAGTGTACAATTATCAACTATATGAAAAATCCGAGAATTTGACAATTCAGCTTAGATAAAATTGAAACCTGATTAGTGAGGGCCTTGAAATTTGGATCTAATGATCTGCATTCACTCACACCTATTTTTAAATTGAACTTTCTTCCAATTTTAATTAAGAAATAGGGGTCTTCGTATTAGAAGATACATTGATATTATTATTTACGAACTGTTCTATGCACCTAACACAATTGGCTGATATTTAATGTTCAGACAATGAAGAGTTGGCGCAAGGTATATTATAATAAGGTATGCAAACGTTCGTACTTTTATTAGTTCTATACAAAGTTATACAGTGACTCCGAATATGTATTATAATTTTTTATATAAAGAAGCGTTTTTTCATCTCGATGCCGAATTCAAAAATTGGGCTCTTCAAGACATATTAAATTCTTAAGATGTCGGGAAATCTCGGTTTGCGAGTTCTAGCCAGTTCAACTTATGAAGATATTACTCTCCAACTTGTTAAAGACGAAGAGTCTTATTACGTTAAATTCATGTACATGCTTGAAGCTTTCAAAGTTCCGGACTTGAATGAAATTTTAAACCTTCGGGATGATTCAACAGTCCCACCAAATTGTTTTATTCTTTTTAGAAAAGAAATACAATTATGCGTCTCAAATATCGGTCTACGCATCAGACGAGGTGCTTTATCAAAACATATAAGGAAAGATTTAAGAAAAAGCGAGCCGAATTTAGTGGATTCGTTTAAGGAGACTGCGAATACTGCGGCAAGGATTTTCAATGACAGAAATTTACGAATTAGAATTTTCGATAGCTCTCACATAGAATAAAATTCCAGATAGTCACAAACCAGTGTCATTGGTTATATCAACTATTTTTATATTATACATATATATCTTTTTTTATCACAAATCAATCAATTCAATAGTTATTATAGAATATGTTGCTCTTAAATTTTGAAACTATAATGATGTAAATTATAAACTTTACTTGTTTACTATCTTCGTATGTAATTGCGACAAATAAAGCTTGTATTCAAATTACTAAATGTTGTCCCATGGTTCATTAAATACCTATAAGGTAAAGGCTCTGAGTAAGCCCTTTCTTATCAAATAGTATATCCAAAAATGCAAAAAGAAAAAAGATCATTTATCTTTCATAAAGAAGCCACATTTCTTATTTAACTCTAGTATGAATTAAATCCCGTATATTTTCAAAATTAGCCTTTCCTATTTATGTGTGATCAATAGTCATGTAAATATAAACCAATTGTGTTGGTAGCTAAATATTGTCACCAGTTTGCATGTACAAAGTTTGCGCCCTCAAAATGAGTTTGGCTTAAAAATGTGTCAATATTAGAAGTAGTCAAGAGCTCATGAGAAAAGGGTGTGTACTAGCAATTGGACCCTGTTGCGGAAATCTTCATCCGGGTATAATTAGATTACCGATCTATCCGGTTAGGGTGTCTGATGTACCAAAAAAAATTCAGCGCATTATACGCATTCCTTTTGTCGAAACCTGTATCTATATATTATACAAAATATTTTTTATGTTGTATCCAGTAGCACGTCGAATTGGTCTTTGGCATGCCTATGATTAGAATGTCAGTCGCCCTAATCCAGGTAAATTATTATACATTTTAGGTAGCCATATAGTAATGGGTTTAATTTTTGTGTTACCTCCATCTTCATTTTCAAATTAAATAAAAGGCTTGAAAAAAGGATTGATATGTTGATTAAATTTCCTTTATTTAAATATCCAAAATATTTGTTTTATTATTTGTAAAGTAATTCCACTCTGTAATAAGTTTTACTCTGTAATAAGTTTTAACACATTATAAAGTAATTCCACTCTGTAATAAGTTTTAACATATTATAAAGTTCGCTTAATCTAAGAAAACGACTTAGAATTAAGTTCAGGAATCTAAATAAAAGGTCAAATGCAACAAATTCCCTGGAACATGTATAAATTAAATTATTAAATGATACAAACAGAAGAAACAGAATGTACTGTGTACAAATAATCTAAAGTAGATAGCTCATGCAACCTTTACTTGCTTTATTTGTTCTATATCTCGGCGAACTCATCTACCTTTTATAAATATATTAGTATAAAGGTAATTTATATTTGTAAGTAATAATACTAACTTGAAACTATTAGTTTTTCTGAATAATTGCACTTAAAATGAATCTCATACTGGGGATATCAAATGTATACGAAACAGCAGGAAAGTAGGTTTTTATTAGCTTTAAGACAGTCTAAATAATTATTTATACGTTCACGTGACATACGGCACGGGGCATATCACTTATATTTTTCGCTAAAACCTAATAAGACTTAATTGACAATTAATTTGTCAATACCAATCATAATTTACCACAACACTTACTTCAAGCACGTCGCGCCGACTTTGAAAGTTTTCCAGTCTGGGAATTAACTACTTCTATAGAATTTACTAAATTAAATCGTGTCCTACATAAACATTTATTATACATCGATGTACCAACCCTGTTTTGTTAGAATTTACATCGACAAAATTATTAAGAACTCGATTTCTACTAAAAAGCAGTTTTATGTTATAATACTATATTAATATTGAAAATTGGGACACTTGAAGAACAAGTACCCAAGTAATCATCAAATCATGTGAAATCATGCATTGCGTCATTTGTTTACTAGCACTAAACAAATTAGCCTAAACTAACCTATTACCTAACCCTAGCACTAACCCTAACGTAGGCCATATCTATTTATGAAAGACGCTGTCACGTGATTTGCTGACTGAGACTATAAACTCGAATAAATAAAATCAATTTTTAGAAATTTTTAGCAACATGTTTTAATTTTAGGTTATTGTTACAACTCTGTCTTTAAATTTTATACTTTAAAGTATTTCCTCTAATAATGTTTGACGGAAATGAAATCCATAACTGTTCAAGTCCCTAGTAATCATGGAAAATAATTTTATAATTGCAACTTTATGTAATATTACGTACGCTATGTATAAATATCTATAAATGCTGTGTAACAGTTGTACAAAAATTAATTAAAGTTTGTTATAAAAATATATCAATTATATAGAACGAATATAAAATTGAAAGCTTATATAGCACTCCTCTCAATATTATAATGAAATCTGAAATTTTGACTACTAATATGAATAGTTATTTTAGGCTGTTTCAATATCCCGGGTTATCTGTCGTTCATATACTATAATATTTGTTGTACTTAGTAGCTATATATTATTATATATGTTTTTTTTGTGTATAATAGATGGCTAGACGCGTTATCAATAGAGATCAGAAGTCCAAAAATTTTTCAGGGTGTAGCATTGGTTTATCGATATATAAGTTAGTAAATAATTTTAAGTTTGGTGACCATATATTTGGATTTGGTGACCGAATTTTAGCTTAATTTCATGAATTTATCATTATTATTATATTAAATCGTACTTTTTATTATACAGATTAATGTGTTTGGTGCGCTAACCCATTAAAGTCCACCATTGGTGCATTTTGCAATTATACAGTACAATTTATATGTGTCATTTACAGTAAAATGGGGCATTAAACGATATACAATATATGTTTATGTTATTTAAACTATCATTTCACTAATAGCTCATCTATCTGATATCACTCCAAGTGACAATTCACCAAAAATATATATCAAATACTAACTCTAACCTATGTGATTTCAGCTAAATGAGTTGATTATTATTTCATGTTGGTGAAACGAAAATTAACAAATGCTTCTTTACTTACGAAAAATGGTAGTAAGCTACATGAGCAAACTAATGCTTTCGTAATTCTGTAATTCTATGCAAATTACCTTTGAACGCTTAAATATTATCTTTATCATTTTGAAAAATATTTCGAACATAGTAAGTTAAAATATTTTTGCTTACCAGGTTTTTTTTTTTATCTTGTTTAAAATTTAAACTAATATAATCAAGGTTTGTAATTTGTGATGGGCTTTGTATTTAGTTATATTTATAGGATATCAAGAAAAGATTATCGATTGTGACGTGAATAAGTACAAAAAGAAAACAAAAATGATCAAGAAATTAAGGTGCTTAATATTTAGTACTCAATTATATCGAGGGTCCGTAACTACGTCTGAGCAACCTGAATATGCCGTAGTTATTAAGGATGAAACAAAGCCGTACCGGTTCAACTATTGATAGTAGATTTTCTCCTTATTGGAGATTTGAAAGAAATTATTTATAGAGGCACAGTAGGCGATTGAGAATAAATAATGCGAAAATGCTTTATAACAGTAGAATAATGACCAAAGGCTTATTCAATGAAAATATGGGCTTCAGACTTTCAAGTTAATGTCATTGGGTTCAGTCCTCGAACTCAAACCAAATAATGCAAATCGCAAGTGTGTCATTAAGTTCTAGTCAATTCGGTGACATAGTTTTCATTGGTAATGCGGCCGATAATGCATCGTCAAAAAATTGATTTAAGAATTACGCATTATTGCAACTATCAGATTTTTTTTTTATTTTAAGGGCTCGATTAGCCCAGAATCCAGTTTTCGATTGGTCATATGCATACATAAGACAATAGGCATAGTCAAGGCTGCGATGATTAATTTTAAGTTAAATTTAAATTAATCGGATGATTAACTAAGTTCTTGAAAACTTAGGTCTGAATTGAAAATAATTTATTTAAGACTATATTTTATCCATTTTGTTTTAGCTACCATCCAGTACAACGACCCACTAACTAATAATGTGAACATCAAGAAACTTTATCAAAACAGAAAGTGTTTCGTTAGTATTTTGATTTGATTACAATTTCAAAGTTTATGACATTTTTTAGCTTTCTAGTTTACTTAACTATAAATTCAATTTAATTATTTTAATTTTTTAAGATAGCTTATTTCGGCATCCCATAATATTTTTGGAAACAATCTTAGTTCAATTCATCTATTGAATACTGTACACGTGTTATCGTTATCGATAAAAAAACAATGCTAAATCTAGGTGATCTACAAAAGTAATAAGTATTGGTATAGCTCAATTTGATTGTTGTGCTATATAAGGCTAATTTAAAGTGAATTTATCACACTAAATATAGAAATATAAAATATGTTTTCCCAAGCGGTCACAAATTTTAGTTTGTGTTAATGCATGATTATCATGTAATCCCTGATCACGAACAAATTGTGGTCGCAATTTGGATAGTTAAGATAATTCAGATTTTTCAGATATTTAAGGTAGAGCTATTATATAACCGTAAGTTTGCAATTTCTTTTTTTTATTTTAAGGATGGCTCTCAGTAGAGTTGTTAATGGAGTACTCCAGGCTATAACAAAACATATAGCCCATTTCTAGAATGCTCCGGAGTGGGTTATATTTTATTATAGTCTGGAGCACTCCATTAACAACCCTAGCTGTAATGGATCCAATTTAACAAATAGTCAAAGTGGCAACAATTTAGCTCTTTTCTTTAAACGATTAAATCAACAACAATCGACTATATTTCATATTTCCTAAGAAAAAGTTGGACTCTGAAATGTTTAAAGAATATTTGCATAAGTAGGAATTAGAGTCACCTAAAATTTTCTTAACCGTTTAATCGTTTGAACGTATTCGCCGGCATTAAAATTGTCCTGGCCCATGATCAACATGATCCGCATAACTCTGCCCGGCACTAAAAAACAACCTTTATGCAGTTAAACAGTTCCAATTCTTACACATAAGTAATTGTTATTGCTCTTGTTATTGTTGATAACTGATTAGTCATTCAAATACTAAGATATTATAATGATTAAAGACCATTATTATGAAATAGTATCCACTGCGAATAAATTAGCCATT